GGTCAAAGGCCATGAGTTGTGATCCTTGACCCGTTTCCACTCAAATTAGACTATTAATTCGTCAAAAACGGACAAACCCAAAGTTATCATGAAATCATTATTTTGCCTTGTGATCCCACTTCATCATAAATTCTAACTCCTTATGCACTTCATCAGTTTTGCAGAGTATAAATGAATGGTATCATATTACGAAACGCCAAAGTTCAAGTTTTACCATCACTCGTTAACGAAAGTTCCAATTATCCGACGTTTGATGTAAAAAAGTAAAAATGAATTGAACTTTGCACACAAGGATCACGAAGAACGAGTTAAAAGTGAATAGCTTTCGATTGGTGTGCTGCAAAATTCTTGTGGGATTTCTTTCTTTCCATTTAATTTTGCAGAATGCGTAAATTCTTGTAAAATTGTTGCTGTTAAGAATCACTTTTTATTACCAACCTCACATGGGATGGAAAAGGAGTCTTGTACCTCGTAAATTTACCTCTTCTGAAATGGACAGATGTAATACTATTGTATCATAAAGCTGGATGAAATTTTACTCCAACATAGAAAACTCAGTTAAGTATTACAATATAGTATAGCTCACTCTTAAAACCAACTTATCGGGGGAAGCTCGACTGGTTATAAACCCATAAGCCAAACCTTACGTTGGCGATGTGAAATATAGTTCACGTTGTACATTTATCTTGCGAAAATAACCAGCTGAAGCGAAAGGTTACCCCGAACAATAAAGGTTTTGAGTTCATTATGTAATCAAATGATACATATAAATTTCTATATTCTTTGGTTCTAAAGGGACCTTATCATTACAAAATAGACTATGATAACTAGGTCAATTTCAACATGGAACTGCAACTTTACCCTCGATGTATATATTTACATCTTGTTATACGTTGACTTATTTATGGATTAATTTTTATACGTAATTCTTGAAGGATTACTAATAAATTTTAAATCAAATAGAAATTTACTGTAATTCCAACATGAAGATCAAGATTTTTCTGTACCTACAAACCTATATACCTAGTTAATGCCCAGAAAACATTTCAAAACAAGAATAGTAGAAATAGTAGAACAGACGCAATCAAGGCCTCTACACCTAAAACGAAGCTAGAAAATCCACCCCAGCGCGATTCCTTTGGATTTTACTTTAGAAATCACTAACGAAATAGGCAGTTCTCTTGTTCCAATGATAGCTCCGCATCAGCATTCGATTCTTATAACATAAAATTACGAAAACCTGGAATTTGCATTGCCGAAGAAAAAAAAAAATTAAAAAAATCCATATGCATACTTAGCCCCTGTTCGACACCCATTTTGGGGAAAAATAAATTCTGGAATAGTGATTGATGGAAGAATGTATGGTTAAAAAGTAATGAGAATTTTTGGGTTTATGTGTAGTATTATCTTATGGATTGAATGTGTGGTTGAAATAAAGAAAGAGGAAAAAAATGAGAATGAG